CTCTCCAATGACCCTCTTAGGTTTGATTTCCGTGCTAAGTATTAAGTGAACGAATTTTTCAAATAATTTTCCAGGTGTTTATTTATGCTGTTCTTGGCCTGTCACTTCTCTAACCATTGTGTTTCTACAACAAAGGGATTAATTCTACTTGGATTGATTCATTTTTTTAAACCTATTTGCTTGATAGCACTTTTCTCTCATCTTATGTGAATACCATGAGGCATCAATTTTTCTCTTTGTTCTTCGGACCATCTCTCAGCACCTTAGCAAAACATTTTTACTTGTCACTTACTAAGAGCTCACTAAGAGTTTTGGGGAAAAAAAAAGCAGAAATCACATTCAAGGCCATCCATTTCTTTATTATTGCAGAAGGATAAGCATTTTCAGTTTGCCCTCTTTAAGTAGCTTTTTTACTATTTCAACTACCAAGAACAGAATTTAAGCAATACAGCTTGCATTGACAGTCCTTCTGCACATGTATGCTGGAGGAATTGGAGTTGCTCAACTACTGAAGAGAGGACAGGAAAATATGCTGCTGCTCCCTGAGCGCCACTTACTGTAGAGAGCACTGCACTGGGCCTTGTGAGTCAACAAGTGCTGGTGGCAGTGGCCTTCCAGGGGAAGTGGCTGGAGAAAAGTGGCCGTGCCTAAGAGAAATCTCTCGGAACTAAGCATCCCTCTGGAGTGGCACCTGTTAATCTTACTGGAGCATTTTCCAATTCCTACGTCTTCCTTTTTCTTTACCTCTGTGAAATCCTTAAGGAGAAAGAGTTGTAAGGAAGAAGAGAAAAAAAAAAGTATTATAAGGTAAGATGTGAAAATCAACCCTAAGCGAGCTCATTCAGAGGTCCTTTGACCCTGCTATGGTTGGGATCCACAACAGCCACAAAGGCTCATCTGCTCCAAGTGGGACACCGTGGAGTGCTGCTCAGAGGTGGGGCTCTGGGGACAGGATTGGATCCTCGGGTCCTGGAAACCAGGTGGGGCCTTGCTGGAGGAAGTCAGACAGGAAGCATCCCTGGAAGAGTGGCTCTT